GGCCCGCGAGATGGAACGGGGCAAGGCGCGCGGCTCGGACGGCGCGCCTGGAGACATCTGAAAGGCCGTCGCTGCGGCAGCGATGGGGCCGCCCGCGAGGAGATGGGCGACGGCGCCCTGTTCGAAGCGTCGGGGAACGGCGCGGCTCCAGACGCCAGCCGCGAATCGCTGGCGGTCGCATTTTGTAAGAAGGGCGAACAATCTTCGCGGGAACTACCGGCCAATTTGTCCCTTGCAAGTCGGGCGCAGGCTCCATGCATCCATCTTATTTCGGCGCCATCAGGCAGCTCGCGCCGAGTCGCGCGTCTGGCTGGCGCCATTCGGTTCCAAGTTGCTGAGCAGAACCGCGGGCGCCATCTTCATGGCGAGGCGCTTCCTCGACGACGCGCGGGTTGCAAAGGATTCGCGCCGCGTCTTCCTCGCGCTCGGCAGGGCGGATGCTTTCGACGACGTCGACGCCGCGGCCCTGCTGCCGGCTCTGCGCTGCTACGAGATGCCGAGGGCCGCGGGCGCGATCTGCGCCGGGCGTCGCTTCGCCGTGCGAGGCGACATTTTCTTCGCTAGAGCAGAAGGCAGGAATCTGCCAGGGATGCCCTCTCTTCCCGCTCTCGTTCGCCATTGTCATGGCGGTCCTCCTGGCCGAAGCGAAGCGTGTAGCGGGGGCGGTTGCGGACGAGGTTAACGACCTCATCTACTCAGATGGTGCTTGAATTGTGGCCGTGGACGAGGGCGGATCTGCCGAGTGCAGGCAGGCCATCTCGGGTGATGGTGCCAACTGCGGTCTGTGCTACAGATGGCGGTAGCTGGAGGTGCTGCTGGCGTGCTGCCGAGGGTCTATCTCGAAGCCCGATGGCAGGCCGATTGCCCTGAAGGCAAGCTCGTGCATTTGGGAAACGTGCCCCCGTCCAACGGCAACGTCGACGCTCAGATCTCGAGAAGGCTTGGCTCGGCGAGGTCCGAGTTCGACAAGCTCGATCGCACGTGGTCTTTAGCGTTTTGTCCGCGATGAGAGCAGTGCAACTTGTTCGCGCGGGCGTGATCTCAAAGCTTTCGCGCAGCCTCCGTACTGCATGGTTGGCAGGAGCAGAACTGTGAACACCCGACGCATTCCAAGCTCGTTGTTTGCACGAGTGCTTCAGCAATTTCACATGTTTGACATGAGTCACATGACAAATGCTTCAGTGTTTGACCAGGCGAGGAGGGCCAGCGGAGCCATGCCAGAACGACCACCCTTCGGGTGATAAGGAGGTTGTGTGTGTGTGTGTGTGTGGGGGGGGGGGGGGAGAGAGGGGGGGAGCAACATCTGACTCAATCGATTTCACTAGCGATCCCATTCAACGTGACGCCGCGGGACACCACGGGACACCACGGGACACTTGTCGATTTCACTATCGGTCTCCCTATCGATCTCACCCAACGGGACACCACGGGACACCACGGGACACCGCGGGACACCTCTCGATTTCATTATCGGTCTCACTATCGGTCTCACTATCGATTTCATTCAACGGGACACCACGGGACACCTCGGGACACTTGTCGATTTCATGCTCGATTTTACTATCGGTTTCTTTTCGGGACACCACGGGGCACCGCGGGACATTTCGGGGCACCACATCGATCTCAGTATCGATTTTATTATCGATCTTACCGTCGATGTCAATCAACGGGACATCGCGGGACAACACGGGACACTTGTCGATCTCACAAGCGATCTCACTATGGATTTCATGTTCAGGGACACCACGGGGCACCACGGGACGCTCGGGGCACCAGATCGATCTCAATATCGAAATTGCGAAGGCCTTACGGCCAGTGCCGCCGACCCTGAAGGGCGACGACGACGACGGCGACGGCGACGGCGACGGCGACGGCGACGGCGACGGCGACGACGAGCGCTCTCGGGGGTCTCTTGAGGGTAGTTTTGGGGCCTCTTCGGAGGCTCTTGGGGCCTCTTGGGAGCTTCGTGAGGGCCTCTTGGGGCTTCCTGGGGGTCTCTTGGGGGCCTCTTGGGGCCTCTTGGGGGGCTTCTTGGGGGCCTCTGGGGGCCGCCCGGGCGCCTCTCAGGGCGAGGGCTCGCAATGTCCGTTCGGCTCCCCTGTCTGGGCTCCCTCTTGGAGCCGTTTTCGGGGCCTCTTGGGCCGTCTTGGAGGCCTCTTGGGTCGTCTTGGGGCCATCTTGGGTCGTCTTGGGGCCGTCTTGGGGGCCTCTTGGGCCGTCTTGGGGCGATATTGGGGGCCTCTTGGGCCGTCTTGAAGCGTCGGGAAGCCGAAAACGCGAGAACTCCAAAAACCGTCAAAAACAAAGGGAATTCTCATGATTTTTGCACCTTGGGGCCTTTTTGGGAGTGCTTTTGGAGGCCTCTTGGGACGTTCTCGAAACCTCTTGAGCCGTCTGGAGGCTACTTTGGCGTGTTCGACCGATAGTTCGGCGATGCGGGGCCCTCGAGGACCGTCTTGGAGCCTGTTGGGGCACTTTTGCCGCGTCTTGGGGGTTTTCTGGGCCCCAGAACCGCCCGGGGGGGAGGCGTATCTGGGTGGCGACCACCCCCGGCGACCCCCCCCCCCACCCCACCCCCCCCGGTGGGGAAGGGATCAAAGGGAAGGGGCTTCCCTTCGACTCAGCGACAACGTTACTCAATGTCGCTTTGGCTAGCGCGCTTCAGGATGAGGGCCCATGGAAAAGAGACTGGGGACGACGGAGACGACGAGGAGACGACGGAGACGGAGGACGGAGACGACGAGGAGACGACGAGGAGACGACGGAGATTACACGACAACGGCGACGACGACGGCGACCAACGGAAGAGCGTCTTCCACACGCCGAGGGTTGGCAGACTATGGATTTCATGTTCAGGGACACCACGGGGCACCACGGGACGCTCGGGGCACCACATCGATCTCAATATCGATATTACTATCGATCTCACTCTCGATATCCCGATCGATTTCGCGATCGAACCCACTCAACGGGGGGCACCACGGGACACCACGGGACACCACGGAACACCGCGGGACACCGCGGGACACCTCGAGCCACCGCCGGACGGACCCACGGACGGGCGGGCGGGGGATAATCATTTGTCTTGAGTTCGCCTTAGCAACGGCGGACACCATAGGACACCACGGGACATCGCGGGTCACCGCGAGCCACCGCTGGACGGGTGGGAGGGGGAAAATTGTTTGTCACTCGTTCGCCCTGGTAATGGCGGGTTCATTCTTCCCGCGCGCTCGCGCAGCTTCGCTTCGATATCGATATTATTCTCGAAATCATTACCGATGTCACGATCGACCTCATTAAACGGGACACCACGGGACACCACGGGACACCGCGGGTCACCGCGAGCCACCGCCAGACGGACGGACGGACGGGCGTGCGGGGGATAATCATTTGTTCTGACTTCGCCCGAGCAGCGGCGGACACCACGGGACACCACGGGACACCGCGAGCCACCGCCGGACGGGCGGGCGGAGGATAATCATTTGATTGATTTCGTCTTAGCAATGGCGGGCTCATTCCTCTCGCGCGCCCACGCAGCTTTGCCTCGCCCGCACGCACGACACGAACGAAACGAAACGATTTCCTGGTTGGGGGCCTCCGTTCCATTGCGATCTCACCCCCCAACCTGCGATCTTGCTGCAGCGACAACTTACACTTTGGGGCAATATTGCGCGCTTGAGCGGCGGCCACCCAGTGCGCGAATGCTTTTTACACCCGGAAGCGTTGATCTTCGCGATCTTCTGTCAGTCCGCTGGGGCGGCCGCCCCAGAGAGGTGTGGGCGCGCGAGATGTATAGACGCGCTGTGCATGCATGTGCGCGAAGAGATGTCAATGTTCAGAGGTTGCTGCAATGCGAGCTAGAGTCTGGAAGAGCACGGCGCGAGAGCACAGCCGCTTGTGCTAGTTCCCGTTTGTTGTTCATGTGCGCGCCACGCGGCTTGTTGATTGATTTTGGTCTTTGCAATGCGCCTTATGTCTGAATTAGCAAAACGCCAGTACACGTTGAATTGCCGGCGACGTGCATTTGTATAATTATGTTGTTCCCGGATGCGGGTTCTATTTGGTGTTGCGACGCGTCACCCCCCCGCGCCATCCCCTTGGGAACCTCTACTTTCCCAGTCGTGCCTCATTGGGTTGCGTGGGGCCACTGCAGGGCTGCTCGAAAGTTCGTGCCAGCTTGAGGGCGGGAGCGAGCAACGCCCAATTCCACAGCTTCCGTGAGCAGGATTCGAACGACCGTCCTAGGACAGCGGCAGCCCGATCCTTCGGGGTGCCTGGGCACAGCGTGTGACGGACAAGAGCACTGGCCACAGCCCAGGCTTTTCTTTCCCTCTGATCCACAGGGCACGCATTGCTGTCCGCAATCGCGATGCCTTGCGGAACTAAATCACGAGCTGTTCAGAATGGTGTATATTCCTGTGCCATGTTCGAGATGGCAAGTCTTCCAGACCGTCCTGATGTCCCCCTTCGAACTGCAGATTCGCCACAACACTGCAAGGCAACAACATCCCTTGCGTGGGAGAGGGAAGGACAAGTGAGGGGCAGGCGAGGACGATGGGTGAGGATGCGCGAGGAGTTCCCCCCTCGTCTCTGCTTCCTCCTGCCTCCTCCCTTCCTGCCTCCCCCCTCTTCCCTCCTTCTCTCTGGCTGTGCCGCGTGGGTGGGTCGCGGTGTGCCTTCCTCCCCGTTGTGTCCCAGCAGCCTACCCCTCAAGGCGGCACGATGGCCACACCTCCCCTTCCCCCCCCATTCCCGAGGCCTCGAAGGGAGGGCAGCGTCGCCCAGCTTGCTACGAGGCGCCTCGCAGGGGCACAGTGCCTCCCTCCTCCCCTCCCCTCGTCCCATCGTCCCCTCCGCCCATGCTCCCCCTCCGCCCAGTTCCCCCCCCCTCCGCCCATGCTCCCCCTCCTTGAGGCCCCTCGAGGGGCGGGGGGGTTCAACGCGCCCGCAGTGTGCGCGCCCTGCCTCGGTGGGACGGGAAGCACCGCCCCACCCGCCAGGCGTTGGGGCCGCGGCAGCTGCGAGCGCCCCCGCCCGAGCGTCCACCCCGAGCGGGGGGGGGGGGGGCCAAGGCTCCTTCCCCGCCGCATACCCTCGCGCCGTGAATAGGTCGCGACGGAGGGTTCGTGGCCGTTCATTCGGCCTCCTGGAACCCTCGCTGTGCCGCGGGGATTGCGAAAAAACGCGTCATGATGAGAAGCTGGTCCCCAGGAAGGGGCTGCTGGGCATGCGATTAGCTTGTGGCCGCCTTCGTCGGTTCTCTCGGGGGGGTCCCTCGGCGGGTTTCTCGGCGACTCTCGTCGGTTTTCGGGATGCAGAGGTGCTCGCTCGCGCGTCCTCGCGGCGGTTCCAGCGTCGGGTCGGATCAACACGGGTTCGAGAAAGGCGGTTCGAGGTTCTAGGTTTCCGGACCGTTTCGTCAGTTCTCTGCGCTTTGTCCAACCCCTGGAGGGTTTTTTTCAGCAGTTGTGCCTCGCCGTCAGCGCTCTGGGTGTGCCAGGATCGTCCCTTGAGGCCGCCAGGGACCAGGGGACCCAGACATCCGGCTGCTCCAATTTCTTTTCCATGCGTGGGCCCTGGAGGTTTGGACTATTTCCCCAGGACAGGTCCTCCGTCCTGAGTCGTTTTGCGACGATCCCGAGGCCCAGTGGGGGCCCCCAGAGGCCGAAAACGGTTGAATACCCGAGAGCCAGACGGCGGGTCCACCCTACCCGCCCCGTCTCGACCCGACCCATTAGGGTTCTTGCGTGTCCATTCGATGATGCATGATGCTTTGATGTCCATCCCGCCCGACCCGTTTGGGTCCGCCCGACCGACCCGACCCGACCCGCCAGTTAGGCCTCCCCCGCCCGACCCCCGACCCACCCGTCATGGTCCGCCCGCCCGACCCGACCCGACCTGCCCGTTGGGATCCTCCCGCCCGATCCGACCCGACCCGACCCGCCCGTTAGGGTACTCTCGTTAATGTTCCGCCCGCCCGACGCGACCCTCTTGTTAGGGTCTGCCGTTCGAACCGAGACGACCCGCCCGTTAGGGTCCGCCCGTCCGACCCGACCCGACCCAACCCGCCCGTTAGGTTTCTCGCGTGTGGACTCGATCTCGCACCACACTTTAATGTCCCGCCCGCCCGACACCGCCCGTTAGGGTCCGCCCGCCCGACCGGACCCGACACGCCCGTTAGGGTCCGCCCGCCCGACCCGGGCCGACCCGCCCGTTAGGGCTTTCGCGTGTGAGCTCGATAATGTCCCACCCGCCCGACCCGACCCGCCCGTTAGGGTCCGCCCGCCCGACCCGACCCGACCCGCCCGTTGGGGTCCACCCGCCCGACCCGACCCGACCCGCCCGTCAGGGCATTCGCGTGTGAACTCGATCATGCGCCACACTTTAATGTTCCGCCCGCCGGACCCGATCCGCCCGTTAGGGTTCGCCCGCCCGACCCGACCCGACTCGCCCGTAAGGGTATTCGCGCGTGAATTCGATCACGCACCGCACTTTAATGTCCCGCCCGCCCGACCCGACCCGCCCGTTAGGGTCCGCCCGCCCGACCCGACCCAACCCGACCCGCCCGTTAGGGTATTTGCGCGTGTCAGCTCGATCACGCACCGTACTTTAATGTCCCGCCCGCCAGACCCGACCCGCCCGTTAGGGTCCGCCCGACCCGACCCGACCCGACCGGCCCGTTGGGATCCTCCCGCCCGACCCGACCCGCCCCCACCCGACCGCCCGTCAGGGTATTCGCGTGTGAACTCGATCATGTACCACACTTTAATGTTCCGCCCGGCCGACACGACCCGCCCGTTCGGGTCCGCCCGCCCGACCGGACCCGACCCACCCGATAGGGTCCGCCCGCGGACCCGACCCGAACCCGACCCGCCCGTTAGGGTTTCGCGTGTGAACTCGATCATGCACCACACTTTAATTCCGCCCGCTCGACCCGACCCGCCCGTTAGGGTCCGCCCGCCCGACCCGACCCGACCTGCCCGTCGCCGGCGACGTCGTCCTCCTCTTCTTTCGGGAGCCTTGAGACGGGGGTCAATGCAAACGGGGGTCAGCCACGGCACCGGATCCTGCAGGATCTTGCGAAGACCCCCTCTGGCTGACCCGGGTTAGGGAGCCGCTCGTGGCCGCGAGGGCGGCCGCGCCTATTGGCTCACCCGGGCTTGCGAGGACCTGCGTTGCAGTTTTTTTTTTCCTGCATTGCAGTTTTTTGTTTCCTGCTGACCCGGGTCTGGATTTACCCGGGTCAGAAGATCCCCGATTCTTCCTGCTGTTGTTGCCTTTCGCCCTTGCGCCCCCGCGGCGGCGTCGACGACGGTGACGACGGGAGCGGCGACGGCGATGGCGGAGGAGGAGGAAGACGGGGGAGGGAGGAGGAGGGCGGGGAGGAGGTGGAGGAGAGGGAGGGAGGCGGAGGGGGAGGGAGGAAGCGGAGGAAGAGAAGGAGGTGGAGGGGGATGAGGAGGAGGAGGGGGGGGACGAGCCGGAGGAGCAGGGGGAGGATCTGGGTCCGTAGTCTCCGCGCCGGCGTCGCCGGCGGCAGCGGCGGAGGAGGCTCCGGGCGAACGGGCTCCGGGCGAACGGGCTTCGGGCGAACGGCTTTGATGGGTGGGGTTCTATATGTGGTTATAGTATAGGTAAATGGTTCTATTTTAGGAGAGGTTTGGATGAGTTAGGATTGGTTAGGAGGCCCAATAGGTTCCATAGGAATGCCGATAGTGTAGTCGCCGATAGTCCCCCCTGCGTTTCACTATAGGATCTATAGGAGCTTACAGTGTCCTATCATCAGCTGAACTTGGAATCCCTAAACATGTGTATGGTTTTATTATTTTTCTACTATTTTCAATATTTTCTCAATTTTTTTAATTATTTTCACTATTTTCACTATTCATGATTATTTTTCCAATATGTTTCAGTATTGTACACTATTTTTCTGTATTTTTTCCTTGTCTGACCGACGCCAGAACGTTGTGTTCCAAGGGAGAAGAGGAGGAGGGAGGAGGAGGTGTTCTTCTTGGTCGGCTCCTACTACCTGCAGCTCGACATCCTGGCACATGCCGCGCGAGCCGCCGCGGGGGGGATCCCGCTCTTCATCCGCTCGATACCTCCTCTTCCTCCTTTATGATGTGCCTCGTACCTTTCTACAGCGGCCAGACCGCTTCGCATATTTTCTCGTTCTTCCTCCTTTATTCCTGTATGGTTTCTACAGCGGCCAGGCCGCTTTGCATTCCTCCTCGATTTCTCCATGTATTCAACAGCGGCCAGATCTTGCATTCCTCTTCTATTCCTCCATGTATACTACAGCGGCCAGATCGCTTTGCATAGTATCAGTTCGTCTCCTTCCCTTCTCCTTCTTCCCTGACTTTCGCAGCGGCCAGGCCGCTTTGCATTTGGTTTCACGTTCCATATCGCGCAATATCGCCCTTGCTCGTTGCAGCGGCTTGGCCGCTTCAGTTGTTACGGCGGCCTGACCGCTAACGTGCGTATATGCGCCCTTGTTTGCAACGGCGGTCTGACCGCTAAATCTTTACTATTTGGTTCACGCAGCTTGTGCGCCGCTTTGGGCGTCACAGCGGCATGCCCGCTTGTTGCTTGCGCGCAGCATATGAAGATGAGGAGGGGGAGGATGAAGGGGAGGTGGAGGAGGAGGAGGAGGAGGAACTGGCAGGAGGAGGAGGAGCAAGACCAGGAACGGCCCCTCTTATCAGCGGCCTGACCGCTTCGCAGCCTCTCTCCATCCAAGCGTCGCGCCGCAGCGTACGCGCACAGCCGCGAAGCGCGACGGCTCAAGAGCGGCTATAGTCGCCGCTGACGGTTGCGCCGCAGGATGGACGCCCCTGCGATTGCGCGGCGCATCTCCGCAGTCGACTTCATCCTGCAGTCGATCTGCGACCCGCCGCAGGTTGCCGCGGTGTCGGCCGCGCAAGCGGGGCAGGTGGTTAAGGAGCTCAAGAAGGCGAGGTTGCCTCCAGAGGACATTCAGCCGATTCTGCAGGCGATCGCGGAGTCACGGTTCGCCGACGCCGACAAGGCAGCCCTCAACACCTGCATCTCGGAGCTGGCTAGCAACGGCGAGTCTGCCAGTTGCGTCGCTGGCCTCCAGGACTGGGAGTCGCTCCACGAGTTCTTGCCCCAGGCAATCTGGGATTCCCTGCCGACAGGGGGCCCCGGGGCTTCAGAGCCCACGAAGCAGACGATGGCTTGCCTGCTCATGCAAGCAGGGAAGGGTCTTGACGGCGCACTTCAGATTGACGTTGCGCAAAGGACGGACTCTGTGCTGGCCGTCGGCGCGCTATTCGCGGAGAGGGTGGCCACGCGTACGCGGAGGACCCCCAATCCTGTCATCATGAAGTTGCCGACGGTGCCTAGTGACCTGGCGAACGACTATCCCACTGCGTGCCAGCGGGCGCACAGCGTGTTCCCGCCGAAGAGTTTCGACCTCGACCCCGTCGGCTGGAACGCCCTCAAGAAGACAACCAAGATGCGCCATCGTTTATATCGGCCCGCAAGCGTTGCGAGCTCCTCGTGGAGCATCCGCGGGGCGCAGCCAGCTGTCTCGAAGCAGAGTCCTGCAGGTTCTCCACACTGGCCTTCTTTGCAGCAGCAGCAGCAGCAGAATCAGCAACTGCCGCCGAGCCAGGACGCCCCGCCTGCGATGGTCGCGCAGTTGGTTACGTCGATGATGCCGACGCTGCTTCCGATGCAGTCGCAGATCCAGCAGGTGCTCCATCAGGTGTTGCAGCAATCTCTCACAGGGCTGCCGAGCGGGATGGCGCAAGGTCCGAGCTTTTTTCAAGCGGCCAGCGCTGCAATGCAGCATGCAGCGGCCCCTGCAGCGCTTGCTGCATCACCCCAGCCTGCCGCGTCGCCAGGTGCGCTTGCAGCGCTGACGCCTCCCCAAGGGCCAAATGCGCTTGCAGCAGCATCGCCAGCACAGAGCGCATCAGCATCAGCGTCCGCAGCAGCACCAGAAGCAGACGCACCAGCAGCAGCAGCAGCAGCAGCAGCTGCAGCACCGTTCGCAGAC